TGTGTTTCATAAGCGTGATCTGAACGCATATAGCTTCTGTTCGGAACTGACTTTTCGAGTGTGAAGAGTACTTTGGACCCAGCTGTCAACACACCCAAACTGTAATTTCTTGAGAGTTTATGATGAACCCTTTGGGTTGTGGCATTTTGTCCACAGTTTTCTGGGAAGTGATTGATTTTCTTGATTGACAGGACACACAGTTTATTGTGGCCCAGATCATCAGGGCAAGGGACAGTTGATGGAACAGTGTTGAACTCTGTCAGCACTTCAAGCATGCTTAGATGAAGACTTAAGCATCATTCATTTGGGTTATACAGTGAGAACTATTTGATTAGAAGCAATCTCTTCTTTTTTAATTAGAAACAATCTTATTTCACATATCAATCCCAGTTTCTTCTCCTTCCCATTCTCCCATTCCCCCCACCAAACCCCCAAGCAAAAGACAATATTGTACATGAAATAAAAGTAAATAAATCTTTAAAAAAATCACTTTTGCTGAAGAGAGAGAGATAGGATAGAAGCTGAAGGTGACAGAGGGTAGAGTGACCTTATCATTTGTTATCCAAACCAAGGCACTTTATGAGTGTAAGTGGAATAAGCTATCAATTTACACCTGGGGTAGGGCAGGAAAGAATTCTCCAGAACTGTGTTTATACAACTCTTCGGTTTACTTTTTGTATTTTTTTTCTTATATTTGATTCATCAATTCTTCATAGTCTATTGGTAATTTGATTATTTTAATAGACTTTTGTTATGTTCAGAGCTTTTTAATAGTCATGCTTCATCCACATGTAATTCATTTCCTCAGACAACAAATTGATTTGAAGATGTTGATTTCCCTATGTGCACTTACAAAAAAATAAAAAGCTGCATTTAAATGTAGATGTTCATGAATGCAGATATGAGACTAAGTGCTCCAAAGTTTTTATTATTTAATTACAATACTCTCTAGGGAAGGAGAAAGTCATAATAATGGTTCTTTTACAAAGTAACAGTTATATGTTTAATGATTGGCATGTGTTTTGGCTACTAATGCCTTTTTTTCTTTGCTCTAGTATTTTAAAAGTACAGTGTATACAAACTTGGCAGCTTAGCAACTTATTTGAGTAAGACTACTTTATTATAAATGGTACTTTAATCCATGTACAGTCTTTTAATCGCACATCAGTTCAAGCTTCTGAAGGACAGGGAGATGGCTCAGTGAGTAAACTAGTTGCCATGCTAGCATCAGGACCCTAATTCAAGAACTTCTCATAAAAGCTGGATACTGCAGATGTACATCTGCAACCTCAGGACTCCCACCAGACAGGGGAGAGAGACAGCAAAACCCCGTCCAAGCTCTCGCCTTGAGTTCCTACGCTGACTTCCCTGGATACAGACTGTAAACTATACAGTGAAACAAACCTGTTCATACAGCATTTGCTTGTAGCTTATGTGGAAAACATAGGACTTACTTCTGCAAATACGGGGAGGCCTTTTTCCTGGTCTGCATATTAAATGTTGTCTTCATCAATGTTCTGTTGCTGTGAAGAGACACTATGGCCGTGGCAACTTCTATAAAGGGAAGCATTGAATTGGGGCTGGCTTACACTTTCAGAGGTTTAGTCGGTTGTTACCATGCCCGCATGCGGGCAAATGTGGTGCTGGAGTAGTAGCTGGGAGTTCTACACCCAGGTCTGCAGGCAGCGGAAGGGGACTGATTGGCTTTGGGCTTCAGTTGCATATTTGAAACCTCCCAGTAGAGTCCCAGTGATAACACTTCCTACAACAAGGCCACGCCTCCCTCCAACAAGGCCACACCTCCCAGTCTTTTCAAATAAACCCTGCCATGCCCTGATGACTATCATTCACATCTATTTACCCGTGAGGGCCATTCTTATTCAACCCACCAGAAACACTACTAAATATTTGTTTCTCTTTGAAAATAATAGAAAAGCCTTCCACTGCATTTTTGAGATTATTGATTTAAAGTTGTGAATAGTATGATTTTTTTCTGCAGTCCTAATAATTTTTAATGTCACAGAAGCTGGTTTTCTGGATATATGCGGTCTTATTTCCCACGTTTAGTGTTTTTTAGCTAAAAGAAAGTCTTGATAAAACTCTAGTTTTTCTTTCATGTAAACAGTCTGGTCACGTTGAACAATCGCTAACAGTACTTCGTGGAATAGTTTCCAGCTACTGAGGTGGGGTGGCCATTTGGACATGCCCTGCATGTACTGCTCTGGCATGCTTCTTTTTCTGCCGTCTGCTGTGGAGCAGTGACTATGAGGGTTTTGAGTGTGGAATAAATGTCATACTAACTTCATTTAGTCAGGATTCCAGAGGAGACAGAACTAGAAAGCGAGAGACCATGAAATTCCACGAGAAAACTGGACTACAGCTGAAGGAACTATCTAAATCGCTTCTGTGTACAGCCTTGTGTAAATGTTGTATGTAGAAACAGCTGAAGTAAATTCCTTGTTATCAGTGACATCATTAGCAGATCATAAAACATCTTACACTCCTGGATTCTTTTTTAAAAATGACACATGCTCACAGATACTATCATGAGAATGTTGATCTGGAATGATGGTTCTTAACCTACCACGACCCCAGTGGGAGGGTGTCCCATGACCCTTTCACAGAGGCCATCTAAGACAGTCTGCATATCAGATATTTACATTAAAATTCATAGTAGCACCGAAATTACAGTTATGAAGTAGCAACAGAAATAATTTTGTGGTTGGGCATCACCACCACATGAGGAGCCACATTAAAAGGTGGGAAGCATTAGAAAGATTGAGAACCACTGCTCTAGAAGACCAGCAGTCCTGTCTCTGCTCCCTTTCGTAGTAAAAAGAGGAAGGAATGGGAAAGGATGAAGCACATTTGATTTTTATAACATTGTGACTGGGCTGTTTCTGGTATTCACTGCTGAACTCACCCTGGCTTCCCTTGCAGTACTCTAGAATCAAGGCCAGAACTTTAAAAGGGCTTGAGAGCTTATTGTGTTTGCCGTAAAAACGAACTCTAGCAGAGGGGATTTGTGCTGTCATCGCATTCTTAGGACTCACAGTGAGATGGCTGCTGGACTTTCAGTCTGTGGATTCATCAACCTTTGCTCCTCGCTGGCAGAACAGGGCACAGAGAGGCAGAAGTCAGGGCCCTCCACCACTATATGGACAGTTCTTAGAAGAAGGATATTAATGAGGTTCTGTGTACATGTCTTTGGCTAGAAACACAAATCCATATGGGATAGAACACACACACACACACACACACACAGAGAGAGACAGACAGACAGACAGTCAGACAGACAGAGACAGAGACACTCAGAGAGAAGCCTCCCTCAGGATGTTTTAGGACTTTTTAAAACCCCGTGTATATGCATGTGTTTCCATGTGTAGATATGTGTGTTATAATGCAGAGTGCAGGTATGATCAGAAAGTGTTGGATTCCATACAGTTAGAAGTACAGGTGGTTGTGAGCCACCTTAGTTGATGTTGGGAACTGAATTCAGGTCCTCGGCGAAGGCAAAGGTGGCAAGTGCTCTTACCCACCCACTAAGACCCCCTCCGGATATATATATATATATTTTTTTTTTTTAACCGAGAAGTCATGAAATCACGGACAGGTCTTTGCCCTGCTGCTGCTGATTTATTGCCTTCTCTGGTGCCAATTGTCGCTCTGAGTTTTACACATGCTGCTCTAACTGTTTACTGACCTGTTCTGCTCTGTAGTAGAGAGCTAACTTCATCTTGCTTCCATTCTTTGCTCTTTCCTCAAGCCCGGCCATCTGTCTGCAGCTACACCCGTGTGTGTGATTCTCAAATATCCAGGAAGAGCTTTTCGACCCATTCCTGCACCACATACCTGTAACACCACACTGTTAAGTGTTACTTTTAAAGTTTATGTTATGGTTAATGTCCTATATTATTAAGATACTTCTTTTTCTATGCTTCTTGAATTGTTCTGAGATTGTAATATAATAATTTCATCTGCTCCTTCCCAGTCCTTCCTCCAACCCCTCCCTTGCTTTCTTTCGAATTCGTGGCCTCTGTTATCTGGCCTTTCTCTCATATCTATATTGTTGAATACACATTCTGAATATTATCATTTTATTGAACATATAACCTATAAATTTACTCTTCTTTGCACCCCCCTTCCCAGTGCATGGAGATTAATTAGTAATAAAGTATTTTGTACATGATGACATATTCTCTTCATTACCTTTTCTGTTTCTAATAGTGAGAAGGCCCACAAAACGGTTTTTCTTATCCCTAAGCAATCATTTGATTTCTGTAACTGAGGAGTGCTTGGACTGGTGGCATCTCAGCAGCTCGATTGCGGTTTCTTTGTACTACACAAAGTTTATCATAGGAAGTTAGAGGCAACTCATTTTCCAGTCCCATCCCAGCATCAAGAACCTGTTTCTTCTTGAACGATTCTTGTTTTTTCTTCTGTAAAGGTCCAGAAAATAACCTTCTCTGTGTCTTTTCACGGTATTGTCTGAATACTTGAAAACACTCGAACACTTGAATAAACATACGTGGTAGGGTTTGTGAGAACATACACATGGTTTTACATTAGAAAGTTCGAAATAAGGTGGGATGTAATAGAAATAATAGCGTGAATGGTGGGGATGAGTGTGCTAGCATACCCCTGAGTGACGTCAGTTCCTAAAATGGTTGGAGGGTATAGAAGCAGGGACTAGCAAAGTCTATCATATCATTGCTGGGTCTTTCTTCAGGATGAGAGTTCATATTGAAACCATTTATCTCCTACAAAAGAGTTAATTTTTTTTTTTACTGTGAACTTTTCATGATACATTCCTGATGCATGTGAGAGACAGACATTCTGAACAAAGTGAGTCCTGCTGACCCGTGATCTCTCTAGAGAGGAAGGCTTTACAAGAGTAAAGTCCAGCCCTATGTACGTGGAGCCTTCGGGTTTAGAGCCAGATGATGGGTGGTGGCTCAGTTTATCTCTGTGTGTGTCTTACCCTTTGTCTTTCCTTTTAGGAAATTTGAAATATTGCCTGGTGGTTCTTAATCAGCCTCTGGACACACGCTTTCATCATCTTTGGAGAAAAGGTAATCTTAATTAGCATTTAATTGTCTTTGCTACTGAATAACATGACTTGCACCTGGTTCCATACACCCCCACCCCCACTCCCCCAAAAAAACAAACAAGCAAACAGACAAATCAGAATAGAAAAACATAATACATACAATCCATAAAAACACAAAATGTAGAAACTATAATATATAAAAAATGACCAATGAGACAAAAACATGTCCAAACAAAGCAATATGAGACAGAAATCTCATTGAGTTTGTTTGGTGTTAACATTCTACTGCTGGACATGGGGCCTACATTTAAGTGTGATTAATGTACCCAGTGAGACTCCCTTGGCAAAAGTTTGTTTTCCTCTTGTGAGCAGATGCCAGTTGAAGATAGTGTCTTGGTTAGGGATGGAAGCTTGTGTCTACTTATCTCTCTCTGGCTCAGACTATACAAGGCTCTGTATATGCTTTCTTTTCTTTACAATTTTAAGAGATTAAAACAAAATTTTAATTGCATCATCTCTCCCCTTCCATTCCCCACATTTAACCTCTCCCAAGCTAACCTCCTCTCCAGTTCACGGCTACATTTTCTTTATTGTTATATATTGAAACCCTGCCCACTCTAGTGGACACTGTACTTTAGGTCATTGTCACAGCCTTTACCATAGCAACGACCCCCTTATGTTAGATCCCAGGAGTCTGGCCTGGCTTCCTTCTGAAAATCTCAAAGGGCATCCACTAAGCTGCTTCCATCCAGGGGCTTTTGTTTGTTTGTTTGTTTGTTTGTTTTTTGTTTGTTTGTTTGTTTTTTCAGACATTCTTCACCCAAGGGTTCTCAGAGGAACTCTGGGGGATCATTCTGGGCTATGTCTCAGAGGCACTTCCCTGGAAACTGCCTCACACCTATGTTCTGTCTCTTGGTCGGTATCTTCAGCCTGGGGAGGAGGAGGGCTACCTATTCCAAATAGTATTTTACACTTAACTAAATTCTGTTGAGAACAAGAGTTGGGGACTATTAAGAAATCCCAGCTCAGATACACTGCTGATAGGATTGCCAGTGGTGGAGTGACTTGGAAAAACCACTTGAAAGTTCCTCAGAGCTGTCACTCGACCTGCTTGTACCCCACAAGAGAGGGAGAGTACATGTTCACATGAACGTCCGTAGCAATGTTAGTCAGTTACCATCAAAGAATGAAGCACTGGGATGCTACAGAATTGAAGAACCTTGAACGTAGTGGTCTAAACGAGGGGATTCGGGCACAAAGAAAAACATCTCACAACTCAATTAAAATTAAATGCCCGTGAACTGGCCTTTTGGAGCCCAGTCCCTGTGGTTGGATACCTTGCTCAGCCTTGATATTGGGGGGGGGGGGTTGGCCCTGCCTCAAGTTAGTATGCCAGATTTGTTGACTCCTCAAAGACGTTCTTACTCCCTATGAGGAGTGGACTGGGTCGGGGGAGGAAGGGGGGAAAGTGGAGGGGTATAGGAGAAGGGGAGCATAAGTAAAATGAAAAATAATTTTTATAAAAATACAGCCGGGGATGGTGATGCCTCCCAGTGTAGGGAGCCGTCCCTACATTCTCCATTACAAGATGGAAGTTCCTTTGTTGTACAGGGTTGTTTTGGCTATCCTGGGTCTTTTGTTTTTCCATATAAAGTTGAGTATTGTCCTTTCAAGGTCTGTGAAGAATTGTGCTGGGATTTCGATGGGGATTGCATTGAACGAATCTGTGGATTGCTTTTGGCAAGATTGCCATTTTTACTATGTAATCCTACCTATTCAAGAACATGGGAGATCTTTGTTTTTTTTTTTTTTTTTTGAATAAAAACATCAAATGCCCCAAACTACCAAATCTACAGAAATAGGACAGATACTCATGCATGGCCAGTGCTGGGAGATGGGAGCTAAAGAGTTATTTGAAGTTACTTTCATGTTGATAAAATGTTCCCATGACAGTTTTATGGTAGTTGCATAGCATTGTGAATCTGCTAAAGAAAGATCATGTGCTTAAGTTTGCTGTTTTGTGTATATGAATTATATTTCAGTAGGCTGTTAAAAAAAAGTAGTAGGCAGTAAAGCGTGATGTAATCCCTTCTAGTCTTTCATAACTACGAGATGCCCACTTCTTTATGAGATCTAACACATCAGGGTATAAAGACTCTGCCTTTATTTTTGGAAATATTTATGCAGCAAATTTCTCAGATCTACCATGTGGTTATAGAACTTTGGACTTAGCTGGTGTGGAGTGGTGATCACAAATCCATTATCTAACATTTGTTTGCTGAGCTATTTCATTCATTCATTCATTCATTCATTCATTCATTCATTCAACTAGACTGTTCTGGTATACTTTAAGACCTAGTACTCTAGATTCTATGAGAATATTACTTTATTTTATAATTATATTTTAAGTACAATGTTTACTAGCTGCTAAGATATGGCCTTAATAAGCTTAGGTTGCAGCTCAACTTAAATTCCTTAGAACACTGGGTGTTATCCATGTCTTACATCAGAGAAAATAACATTTGTAATGTTATATTTGAAATGTCATCTTTCTTTTTCTAAATACGTCCTTCATCTCGTCTGCATATACAGGTTGTTGTTTCAGTGGCAGATTTTATTTCCCGTCTAGTAGTCAAATCTTGGTTCTCTTTAACATTTACAGTAAGCAATTACTTCTTTGTGAATATGTCTTGGAACACTAGAAAGTCTGGTGCTGCTGCATGAAATAAAATACTTGGCACAGAAGATAATGCTTTTTTTTCTTTTTCATAGCATGAAGGATTTAGGAAGCTAGATAGAAATGTCTGTCGTTTCTGTTCTTGTATACTTCCCCGTTCTTAATATTTATTGTTTTAATTCTCAGATCAAAGAATGGCTTTAGTTTACTTTAATTAGAACATTCTTGTTTGAAATTTTTTTCCCTAACAGTAAGCTTTCTGGGGAAGACTGTAAGAGGCATTCATTATAAGCATTAAAATCTTAGTTAAAGAAACTGAATTCTGAAGAAAATTATCTTTGTGATTTAAACAAGCAAGCAAAAAATGTTTCAAGTAAAGGAAATAAATATCCTTAGGAGTCTGCCACTACAAAGTCTTTAAGCCTCTTGTCTAATGTTATGCTGTGAATTAGCGACCATTCAAAATGCTTATTAAATTACTAAATAAACAAGCTGTGTGTCTTGCGGATCTGGGATTACACAGGCAGAAAGACAATACCCTTTCCTTGAAGGGATTTGCAGTCTATGGAGTCCGTCCATGAGCATTTATACAGCACTTGGAACTTTATCAATGAATTGTCCAGGATTATGGAAAGGGAGTTAGAGAGCAGGAAATGAAGCATAACCAACAGAATACAAGAGATGGAAGAGAGAATCTCAAGCTAGAGGAAGTAGATTCATCAACCAAAGAAAATCTTAAATCCAACAAACCCTTAACACAAAACATCCAGGAAATGTGGGACACCATGAAAATGCCATACATACCTAAGAATAATAGGCATAGAAGAAGGCGAAGAAGCCCAGCTCAAAGGTTCAGAAAACATATTCAACAAAATCCCAGCCTGAAGAAGGACATGCCTATGAAAATACAAGAAGCATACTGAACACCAAATAGATTGGACCAAAGGAAAAAAAAAGTTCCCTTAACATGTAATAATCAAAACACCTACCGTACAGAATAAAGAATATTAACAGCAGTGAAGGAAAAAGGCCAGGTAACATCTAAAGGCAAACCTATCAGAATTACACCTGGCTTCTCCATGGAAACTTCTCAAGGCCAGAAGGTCCTGGATTGATGTTCTGTAAGTACTAAGAGTCCACGAATGCCAGCCCAGGCAAACTCTCAATCACTATAGATGGAGAAAACAAGATATTCAGTGACAAAGCCAGATTTATCTACAAATTCAGCCCTACAGAAAGTTCTGGAAGAAAAACTCCAAGCCAAGGAAGTTAACTATGCTCACAAAATCATAGGCAATAAATAATCCCACTTCACCAGAATCCAAAAGGAAAAGCAGAGCAAATATACTCACAATACCACTGCCAACAACAAATCTAAAACAAATAAGCATTAACAATCAATGGTCCTTACTCTACCTCAACATTAATGGTCTTAACTCGCCTATAAAAATACACAGGCTAACAGAATGGATACAGTGACAGAGTCTGTCCCTCTACTGCATACAAGAAATGTATCTAAGCTTCAAAGACAGACATTACCTCAGGATAAAGGGTTGGGAAAAGATCTTCCAATCAAATGGACCCAAGAAGCAAGCAGGTGTAGCTATCATAATATCTTACAAGTTAAACTTCAAACCATAATAAATCAAAAGAGATGAAGAAGGTCATTTCATATCCATCACAGGAGAAATCCATCAGTACAGAGTCTCAATTCTGAACATCTATGCCCCAAATACAAAGGCACCCATATTCATAAAAGAAACGCTACTAAAACTCAAAGCTCACATAAAACCTCACACACTCATAGCGGGAGACTTCAACACCCCACTCTCACCGCTAGACAGGACCACCAGACAGAAACTTAACAAAGAAACAAAAGAACTAACAGAAGTTATGTCCCAGTTGGGTTTAACAGACATCTATGGAACATTCCATCCAAACACTAAAGAATATACCTTCTCTGCTCCACCTGGAACCCTCTCTAAAATTGACCACATACTAGGTGGCATAACAAACCTCAACAGATACAAGAGAATAGGAATAGTTTCATGTGTCTTATCAGACCACCATGCTTTAAAATTGGAATTCAACAACAACACAAATTTCAGAAAACCTACAAACTCATGGAAACTGAACAATGTGCAATTGCACCATACCTGGGTCAAAGAAGAAATAAAGAAATTAAGGACTTCCTAAAATTCAACAAGAATGAGAACACAACATACCCAAACTTATGGGACACCTTGAAAGCAGTGCTACCAAGGAAGTTCATTGCAGTAAGTGCCCATATGAAGAAAAAGGAGGTTAGTCACATTAGAGAATTAACAGCACAATTGAAAGCCTTA